ATCCTTTGGCTTTCTCGATTATCTGGCGCACATCAGCAATAATGTCTCATGTTCCGCAGCCTTTTCTAAAGCCAGATTGAACATCTAACATCTCTTTTTCCATGAAAGGCTCCAATCTGCGTTGGATGATCCTAAGCATTATTTTGCTAGCATGTGAAATTAAAGATATTGTATGATAGTTTGCACACTTTGCTAAGTCTCCTTTTTCTTTTCTTTTTTTTTGGTATTGGAATGTAGATCGACCTCTTCCAATCTGTTGGCCACTGCGTTGTTCTCCAGATTTGCTGGCATAGCTTGGTTAGAACCTTGACTGATTCTTCTGCTGTTGCCTGCCATATTTCAGTGGTTATTGCATCAGTTCCTATAGCCTTCCAACTTGGCAATGACCAGAGTGCTGATTTAACTTCATCTTCTATTACTAGAGATTCTTGTAAGGAATATCTTCTAAGGTATCTTGGATGTTGACATCTCTACTCTACAGTGTTTCTGTATATATTTCTTTGATCTCCTTTGAATCAGTTATTATTTGCCCATTGGTACCATGGGCATACCAATTCAAGGTTGGAACCTCCTTCTGAGTTCAGAGAATTTTTGAAAGATTTTCCTTGTTTTTCGATGTCTCTTCCCATCTTCAATGTCTTTACAGATGTTATTGTAATGCTGCTGCTTGTCTCTTCTAACAGCTCTCTGAATTTCTTAAGTTGACCTTCACATCTTGGATGACCCTGCTGGGAGTATATACTCTTGGCATATACTCCCAACCTTCTTCGCTCATCCCTCCCAGGAGCAGCTCCCCACCACAATCAGGTAGCACAGCAGGACTTGTGGGCAACAGACCCCAGAGAAGCCGGATACAAATCTAAACACTGTATGTTATTACACTCTTCACCTCTTCTTTTCCAGGACTGTGCCCCATTGTTTTGAGAAAGACTGAGTATCTCACAAAGTCTCCTTAGCCAGGTTTATTTCAGAGAAAAAGAGTAAGAATCTTGGGAAAAAACACGTGTTGCTTCATATTTATCTGTTTTTGTTCTCTGTAACAAAGACAGTGTTTTGCATACCATTCTGAACCTCAGGGATCTTTTTTACCATCTTCCACAAATTTTGAATGGTCACCATATAAAGTATCCTTCCTCTTCTTCAAGCCAGATTTGCCACATGCAACCTAAAGGAGGCCTATTTTCATTAAGCTGTAAAGAAGGACCGTGCTGGTTCCTCGTAGTTCCAATATATTGGGTGCTACCTTTTGGATTCACAGCAGGTCTCGGTATTCAACAGGTGTATAGGAACGGTAATTGCTGCTGCCCACCATTTTATAATCTTCTCAGGATCTTCTCGCAGATACTTCCACAAGGATATGGAAAGCACACTGCAAGGACCTAACAGGCGCGGGATGGACTTAGAGAGGTCCAGCTACATAGAAATGTGTGAGAACCCTTCCAGTAATGAAGACCTGCTGCACTTCTGAGATGGTGTTTTTCAGGCATGTTATTCAAGGAATAGCAGACAAAATCACAGCACTCTTAATATAAACAAAGAGGGAGGGTGTTGGGCGCCCTTCCAGTGGTACCATTGACTGCCCTTTGCCAAAATAAGTTGTAGCCCCCTCTTATAAACTCTTAACTTAAATTGGGTGACTTTGTCTCCTGCCCTCCCCTGGCTTTATAGAATCCCATTGTGCTTCTCATGCTTAGCCCTAAGTGGCAGTCAGTTATTGACATGTCCTGTGTTTATGCCCTGCGAAACTCTAGCTCCCAGTGTATCTCCCTCCCTGCTTCATCTCAGTTTAGCTCTGTGGTTTTGGTACATTCACCATCAATGTATCTACTGGTGTTTCACATTCCTGGCAAATGAAATGTCTTAACAGATGGACTCAGCTGTGCAAAAGCTGTGAGTCATGGCTGGACATTGTTTCCTAGGGTCTTTCCAAGATATTCAAAGGACTCCAGGTGAATCTTTTGGCAGACACCCAGAACCATCAATGTGCACTTTACTACAGAAAGATGATAGTTTGGGATGCCTTCTGTGAGGGTTGCTAATAAACTTTGTAGTGTAAGGATTGCTGCATTCAGTGCTGAATAAAAGACTCTGAGACACAGGCTCGTACGAAAGCAGTTTACTCAAGTGTAATGCGTAGCGGTTACAGACAAAGCCAGGATTGGCTTGGCGCAGTTACATGCAGTGGTTTTATAGGGTTCCCCCCCTGACCAGGAGTTACCCCTCGTTCCTGCCCTTTACCCTGTTTCCTGGGTTACTCAGTTCGTCAGCGGTGTTCTTCCCCTCGCCTTAATGGCAGATTCAGCCGGGTTTCTTTGTCCCCCTGATTGCTGCCCTTTGTGTGTCTGATCGTTGCATTCGTTGGGCTTTTCTTCTGCGGGCCAAGCTGGGGCTCCTTGACTGCTTGCAGATCGCTGCTGAATTGCAGTGGTTCCGAGCCGTTGCGGTTGGCGCTGCCTGGGGCGTTCGAGGGAAGCCGGCTTTGTTACAAAGCATTCGTTCCTGCCCCGAGTCAATTGCCGCCACCTGCCAGCAATTGACTTGCGGTTTGCCCTCCTTCCTCTTTTCTGCCGCCTGCACCTGAGGCAGTGAAACTGACTAGGGGCGGTGAAACTGAACAGTGGCGTTGGCTGTGCCGTGCCAGCTGAATCTGACATGTAGAACTGATCCTTCTTACATACTGTGGCATAAGGACAAGGCCACCACCTAATTCTATCTTTACAGCAAAAAAATAGTCAACTTAGTCATGCCACCTATTTTTAAAATTTAATTTACAGCCTACAATTGCAGATGACCTCCTATGGTTTGGATGTGCAGCCTTTTCCCTTGATTGCCCCCAGTCTTTTTACCTCACACGGAGGTTTTCAATTTGCCATTATGGATGTCACTGGTGGACGTTTCTTTCGGTATTCTACCCACTGGTTGTTGACACTATTAAGGTGCTTGTGAGTTGGCATGCCACTCTCATTGGTTCAGGTCAGTGATCCCAATTCCTGCATTCACCGTTTCCCTTGCTCTAATCTGCAGGGCTGCTGTATGGTCAACTCTATATTCATAAAACAGTATCATCCAGATGTTTGAGCCAGAGTAGATGTCAGCTTTGGCTTTGGCTTTTCACATCATAACACCCTCTCAAGCCAACTCAGCATGTGTTCTCATCTCTCAAATCTCCCAGCTTCCCTGCTATCAGTGCCCTTCTCAAACAGACTGAGCAAATTCAGTGTGAACAAGCTCTCAAGCAGATACCCTGGTGCATGGCTCAACTAGAAAATATTTGCAGACATTGTTTTATGCAGACACAAACCCATATTTATGCCTGCTGTTCTTTCCGCTCTCTGTGGCGTTTCAGGAATGAACTCTGCCCCAGTCGGCATCTGATGACGGGAGAGTTTCAACGCAACGAGCACAAACTGCAGGCGCTACATGGGCCATGGAAAGTCCTTAGACGTTTATTTTGCATTCACTCCTAATATGAGCTTATTTCTTTTCAGCATACCTAATTTGAAGCTTGATGAGCAGGGTCCGGTTGTGGCTGTGAAAGGGAAGAGTCTCCTGCCATATTGCCATTTTGAGCTGGAAGACTCTGATTACATTACTGCAAACAGGCGCAACTCAGACTTGCGAGGACCAGGAGGGATGAGTCTGGACCTTCAAACTAAAGTGATTGAATTCACCTCTGTAGGAGTCCATGTCAGGAACACCAGGTGAGCATCAAGCCAGCAAACGCAGCGAACTGCTGAAAAGTCTCTCTTTGGTGGCCGGCAGAGTCACATCAGGGAGAGCATGAAAAGAAGGTAGTTCCTTCCTTTCAGTCCTGTGGGTAGAACTTGGTCCCCCTTATTTCAAAGTTGTCCTGCTATCTGGCTCTTGAGAGGTTCTTCCACTTCCTACACTGTCCCTCCCTGCCTGGGTTATTCATGTGTTTGTTTACACCTCTCCCTTTAAGAATGAAACAGTTTCTAGGCAGTTACTGAAGTAAAATTTTAGCTGGGTATTTCAATATGGTTCATTGTTACATACCCCTATTTTTGTGGGGTTAGATACCAATGTGCCACAAAAATTTGTGTGCCACCATTTTTAAATTAAGGGAGGGCTTTCAGAAAACTGAGCCTTGCAGGCTTCATTAGGGGCTCCCTGGTGTTTATGCCTAGTTGTGCACATATAGGCATCTCAATTGTATTTTACTGTATGATTGTAAGCCAATTGCAATGGAATTTCATTTTATTATGCACTTGGTGTATAGTGTATGGTGGAATGACAATAAAGTTATTATTCTGTTCTGTTCTGTTCTGTTCTGTTCTGTTCTATTCTATTCTATTCTATTCTATTCTAT